AAATCTTTCAGGCCATATGTCAAAGTCACTTTATAGCTTTTTGGCTATTCTTTCACATTGTTACCTCTGTACCCAGAGAATAGAATATCCCTCTACTACCTCATCTACCTTGTGACTCTCATTCATGCTTAAAGAACCTTTTCAAATGCCACCTCCTCTTGCTCCTCTGAGACTCCAAGACAGAGCAACCTATTTCTGTGCTCTCAATAATATTTTTGCTTAAACAGTACATTTACAATTTAAATTTGTTTGGATCCTTGTAATTTCCCTGTCTATTTCATTTCTTTGACCATAGATCCCCACAAAGATAAGGACCACATCAATAGTTGCCTAGGTCCTGGAACAAAGTAGAAGATCAATAATATTAATTAAATGAAAATTAAGGAGACTGAGCATGATTGGGAAATATTCTTGTAATGAACCTAGGAGAGGAGTGAGAAAATAGAACAAGTCCTATGTATTTATCTATCAGATAAACCTGGTATCTCTCCAAAGGCAGACTCAAACGGAATGATATCTAGCCAATCCTATAAAACCCAATAGGGTCTAGTCATGATTTAAACATCTGGTACTTACTAAAAATAAAATCACAAAATCAGCAAATTGTAAGTAATGAGTGTTACGTGTTGGGTACTATGTTAACTGCTTTACATGTAATGTGATCCACTTAAAAGTTTTTAAGGTCAGAGTTTCTATTAACCCTATTTGTAGATGAGAAAATGGAAGGTGGAGTGACTTTCTCCTGTGTCATAAAGTCATTATATAATGAAGCCATAAATGAACCTAGGCAAGATGTGACAAGAAGCTCCCATAGGTTGGACCAAGTTTCTCATTCTACAAAAACTAAAGCACAAAAGCTGAAGATATAGGAAAAAATAAAGAAGGAATATAATTAAATATATGATTATCATAATAAATATGAGCAAACGAACTTTGTGTATCAAAAGGAAAAAGATTGGGAGACTTGGATTTTTTAAAAAAATTTTTAAAAACCCTAGCATGAGGGTCAGCATCATGACAGATGGAGAGAAGACTGAAATTGTCAACAATTTCATCATGCTTGGATCCACAATCACCACCTTGGTACTAGCACTGAAGTTATCTGGACATATATAGCCCTGGGAAAGTCTGCTGTCAGCGACCTCGCTAATGTTCTGAAGAGCAATGATGTCAGTTTAAACACGAACATGCACTTGATTCAAGCCATAGACTTTCCAGTCACCTACTATGCATCTGAGAATTGGACAATGAATAGAATGACAGGAGAAGAATCAATGCTTTTAAGTTGTGGTGTTGGAGAAGAGAGCTGAATATCCCATGGACATCCAAAAGAACAAGCAGATATATCTTAAAGAAAAGAAAACTAGAAGGCTACTTGCAGGCAAAGATGGCAATGCTTCATCTCATATACTTTGGGCATATTGCTAAGAGAGGGTATCCCTTGGAAAGGAACATTATGCTTGGAAAGGTGAAGGGTCAGCAAAAGAGAGGAAGACCCTCAACTAGATGGACTGACACAGTGACTGCAGCAATAGGCTCAAGTGTGTCAGGGATGATGAGGATGGCTGGCACAGGACAGGACAGGGTTTAGATCTGTTGTTCGTAGGGTCGCTGTGAATCATAGTCAACCCAATGACACTTAACTAGCATGAAGACTGGCAGGGAGCATTTGTGCAGAGTCTTAGAGAGGCTGTAAGGGCTCAAATATCAACTCAGCAACACAATTTCATTTCCTAACTTTTGGGGAGAAATAGGTACAGCCAACACCAAAGAGCTATTTTCCCTAAATGAGGGAATTTGAGGATCAAGAATACCTGGGTTACTAAGGAAGATGAAAAGTGGATAGGAGAAGGACCCTCCCAGCTTCCTTACGTAGCACGTGAAACATACACTGTCTCATGCCAGTCCTTCTCACCCTAGTACCTTCTCCACACTGCTGCCAGAGTCATTTCTAAAACCAGAATTCACCCAGTAGCCCTCACAGACCCTATACTACTGTATGTAACATCTGGAAAGAGTCTTCTCATTGCAGTTTTTTATTTTGTTTTCTGCCTTCAAGTCAAAACTGACCCATAGCTGACACTGCAGCTTTTCACACACAGTTAATCACACAGGAGATGGCCCAACCTTCACCTGTGGAGCAGCCGGTGAATTTGAACCATGTGCCTTTGGAATTGCAGTCATAGATTCTTACCACTAAGCCACCAGAGCTCCATCCTCCCTCCAGCCCAGATCCTTTTACAATTAGGAGCCTCTCGTTCTACAATCATTTGCAAAAACAAGACTTTGTTACATTTCACATTGAAATCAGTACAAAACTGGAAACTACAATGATTTCTAACCTTCTTGCTCATTGCCCAAATAGTAAGACTAATGAGACTTTCTTTCCTTTGATATTTATATTTTCTCTCTGCTACTTCCCTATGCTGTGTAAAGAATGTGATGCTGGTGTCAGATACTTTGAGGCTTAATCTTAATTCTGCACTAGTTAAGAGGTGTCTTCATCAGAGATTCTTTAAACATTCACTGAAAGTAATGAGGTGATGGTATCCATCTCGCTTTCTCTTAGTGGAATGAGCAACTAATCAGGAGGTAAACTATCCAGTTGGAAAGATTAAAAATATGGAAAAGAAAGGAATTTGCAAGTTCCTTACTTCAATCTGTCTCTTGTATTTTTTAGTTTTTTGAAATGGTAGTTGCTGGTTAAATCAATTTTGCAAGTGTTTTGAATATAATAGTCATCATTCCACATTTATTATCACCTTGTAGCGTCTCCTGCCTGTCAAGAAAAATGGCATGCCACATGGCATCTTCTGTGTGATGACAGTGAACACAGCTTTCATTTATTTAAAGCCTAAGATCAATCGTATTCTAGAATTACGATGCATTCATCTGCTGGGTCTATCATCTCACAGAATTTATGCCAATACTAATTGAAATCTCCTGGGATGAAGCTTTCCTTTTCACCATAGCTGCATACACAGGTTTCATATAATGGAATGCTTCTCAGCAATAAAAGTAAACCCTTCAATTACTTTTCTCACTGTCCTTAGAAGAAAACAAATATTTTAACATGGCCCATACAGTCTGAATGGTATGGCCCCTGTTTACTTTCCAGCCTCCTCTTGCCTTCCTCCTATCCTGCACCTGTCTGTGGTCAGGAACATATGCCTTCTGCCGAGTCCTGGACCTCACCCAGGTCCTGGACCTCACATCATTCGCTTCTGACATAGATCCTTTGTACTTACTCTTCCCGTGGAATGAACAGTCTCACACAATCTTCCCCAGTCTCACACCATTCTTCCCATTTTCTGCTACTTGTTCACCAAATCTCAACTCGAGTGTCACTTCCAAGGAAAGCTTTGGGTGAACTCCCTCCTCACGCACACACACCCAGTCTATTCCAGTTCTTTGTTACATTCTCCTACAGAACTGAGTCTGCCTGTAATTCTCATTAACTCATAGTATTATTCAATATCTCTCTATCTTTCACTTCGCTTCATGGGAGCAGGAGCTGACCTGGTTTTGCTCATCATTGAAAGAACAAAAGCTAAGACAGCATACATGAAAGGTTACATGACTGAATGATTGAGCGAATAGATGAATATCAATTCAAAGACACTATTCACGTGCCATTCATACAGCTCAGAGACTTCTTTGGGCCATATAAAAGGCATAAACAATTAAGTCAGTCAAATAGCCTAGAGTTGCTGTTGTGACTTATTACACAAACTAAAATAAAACCCCTACTACCCTCAAGTCAATCTGAACTCATGGTATCCCTCCATGGGGCTTCCGCTCCACCTCTTTACAGAAAGACACGATCCATCCTTCTGCAAATCAGCAAGTGGATTCATACTGCTGGGCTATACATAATGTACTATGCTAGCTACCAGGACTCCTTAGACCCCCAATTCCTCATTCCTTTATCCTCTTATGAGTGGCCTAGTCACCTTGACTCATCATAAAATCAATCTTTGAACAAAGGAGTTGCGCTACCAACCCAAAGGCAGGCAATTTGAATCCACTAGCTTTTCTGCAGGAAAAAGATGGGCAAAGTCCACCCATGCAGTGTACTGCCTCTGAAAACCCACAGGAGGGTCAGCTGTAAGTTGGTTCTGACTCGATGGTCGATGGTGCATAACAGCCTAACAACACAGAATTGGAGAGTGTTTTTCTATCATCCACTTCTTGATCTTTTAGGGTTAAGGGCTGCTAATACCTCATGCCAATGAAAATCCTGTGAATGCCTGGACATTACAGACAACAAAACATCCAGATGAAATCTACCTCCTTCTTTCCAAGGGCCTCCCATTTTCTTTTCTCCCATAGAAAAAAAATAATTCCCAGCCCAAGTGCCAGAATTGTTTCATTTAATCCCGTTGACAGAGGTAATTTTGCCTTTTATCTTCCGAGAGAAAAGTAAGCCACTCTTCTGCTTTATCCACTGACAGGTAACACCAAAGAAGTAGCTTAGAAGTTGAAGGGTCTGATGAAACACCTTTTTTCCCTCTTAAAATGCAGTATCAGAGAGAGTAATGCAAGCTCAATGCCGTCGGCAGTGATATGAACGGCACAGTGCCCGAAACCATGTGCTTGGGCTCCTCTTCAGTTGTTCCTAGTTTAAAAGAGTAAACCTTTCTTTTGATACTGGCAGCCCTGGTGGAGCATTAGTTAAAACATTTCAATGCTAACTGAAAGATTAGTAGTTCAAACCCACGTGTCCCTCTTTTTGGAGAACAATACAGCAGTCTGATTTCACAAAGATTCAATTCACTGCCTTCAGGTCAATTCCAATTCATATTGAGCCTCCCTTCAGTGTCCAAGGCACCCTTGGAAACCTGTAGGGCAGTCCTACTCTCCTGTAGTGCCACTAGGAGTTGGCATCAATTAATTGGATGACAGTGGGTTTTATTTTGTGCTTAACTTTCCTGCCTTTTATCTTTTTCCAATCTTCACACCCAGTGTAACTTAGTAAGAAATATTCAGGAGGCACTTACCTGTTAGAACTTCAATTAGGAAGCAGAAGATGAAGGCATACCAGCTCTCTGACTTCATGTTTGCTAGCCACAGGTTTAATCCCCACCTTCTGCTTTCACACTGATGGTGAATTTGTGCTCTCGACTGTTTTCTGTTTGCTGGAGAGGAAGTGGTTTCTGTGGAGGTTTATCTTGTGTCACACCACCAGGTCAAGAAGGCGTCTCTTAATTGATACCAACAACTCTATGGGGGCATCGCTACTTGTGCAAGGAGCCTTGGTGGTGTAGCCATTAAGCGCGTGGCTGCTAGCCGAAAGGTTCACACCCATCAACCACTCCATGGGGGAAAGATGTGGCTGTGTGCTTCCAGAATGACTGCAGACTTGGAAACCTTATGGGGCAGTTTATTATGGTGGCTTAGTGGTAAGGAATTGCACTGCCAACACAAAGGTATAAGGTTTGAATCCACAACTGCTCTGCAGCAGAAAGATGGGTAGTCTCTTCTTGGGTAATTAACTGCCTCTGAAAACCCACTGGAGGGTCAGCTATGGGTCAGTTCTGACTTCACAGTACACAACAATAAAGATCAGTAGACAACAACAATAATAGAGGTCTTTGGGGAGCTCTGGTGGCCTAGTGGGTAAAGACTTGTGCTGTCAACTCAAAGTCATATGGTTCAAATCCACCAGTTGCTCCTTAAGAGTAAGATAGACAATCTCCTCCCATGTGACCTACAGCTTCTAACAACCCCCTAAAGGGTCAACTATGAGTTATTTTGACTCCACAGCAGTAAATTGAGTTTATAGGACCTAGGAGTCAGATCAATTCAATGGCAGAGAGTTTATAACTTAGAGGCTGAAAACCATGGTTTGTTGCTGATTTGGAAGACAAAAGGAAAACTTTGCCTTTATTCTAGTTCCAACAAAAGAAGTTAAAAGATAATAACTTATCTTTTCATAAGCACCAAGTTTCTTAAAATCAATATTTATTGGGAGTAACAGAATCTAAAAATAACCACAGCATACATGCAGTTGGACACATTTCTTTTTATGCTATTTGCTGCAGAGATAAAAACATTTTAGAATAAGATGATAAAATCATTGTACAAACTGAAGAAATCTGAAAGAGGAGCAGCATAGTAAGAAGATTCTGAGAAATAGCATTTACATGACATTTATTGTAGATTATAGTTTTCCAAATGATAGGGTCAATTTTAAACTAACAAACTCTACTCTCCATATCACAATGGGACCTGTAAAGTAAAAGAGTTTCACACATAGAGGCTCAGTTGAAATCAAGATAATAAACAAAGCAAGAGCAATATTAGTAATAAGCATAATATTATAAGTATATACTCTTAAGTGAAATAATGTACCTCAATGAAAAGCATATAAAAATGAGATAATAAGAGCAATATTAGTAATAATCATAGTATTATAATAATATACATTTAAATCAAAACATCTATGAGATATCATCTCACCCCAGTCAGAATAGCAAAATTTAACAGAACAGCAAGCAACAAATGCTGGCGAGGCTGTGGAGAAACTGAAACTCCTATTCTGTGTTGGTGGGAGTGTAAAATGGTGCAACCACTGTGGAAGATGGTATGGCGCTTTCTCAAAAAGTTGCAATTAAAGATACCA